TCGGTCTCTAACAATGACCCAATCGGTCTCTAACAATGACCCAATCGGTCTCTAACAATGACCCAATCGGTCTCTAACAATGACCCAATCGGTCTCTAACAATGACCCAATCGGTCTCTAACAATGACCCAATCGGTCTCTAACAATGACCCAATCGGTCTCTAACAATGACCCAATCGGTCTCTAACAATGACCCAATCGGTCTCTAACAATGACCCAATCGGTCTCTAACAATGGATGGTCTTTAACAATGGCCCGAAGTGTTCTTTAACAAAACTAACAGAATTCTAAGACAAAAACTGTGTACACTTAGTTCGGGGAATGTGCTCGTTATTCAGCGCTCGTTATCCTGTGCTTGTTATCCTGCGCTTGTTATCCTGCGCTTGTTATCCTAAAGTAAGTCCCTAATTGGCCAAATGTTTAATTATGGCCAAATGTAGTTGGAGATTTAGTCAGTTAGAGAATTAGTCAGAGGCTTAGTTAGCAACATACCTCTCAAGCAATTTACGAGTTGGGAGGGGAAGGTTGGCGTTGCTCTGTGCTTTTTCTTGGGGCACTCCTTCGCGGATCTGTTTGAGGACGGCTCCGACATTTTTGGCAAGTACTTTGCCGAGTTCAACGCCCCATTGGTCGAACGAGTTGATGCCCCAGAGGAAGCCTTCTACGGCGACGCGGTGCTCGTAAAGTGCGAGTAGTTTGCCTACGGCAGCGGGGGTGAGTGCGCCGTCGAAGAGAAGGCAGACTGAGGGTCGGTTGCCTGAGAAGGTCTTGTGGGGAATAAGTTCTTCGGGGCAATTTTCTTGTTGAAGTTGTTCGCGTGTCTTGCCAAGAGCCAGGGCATCAGGTTGTGCGAAGAAGTTGCTCATGAGCTCATCGTGGGAGATCGGGCAGTCCTTAATGTGCACGGGATTCTGGCTCTGAGTGAAACCAATAAATTCGCAGGGAACAACACGTCCTTGATGCACCAATTGGTAGAATGAATGTTGGCCGTTAGTTCCCGGTTCGCCGAAGTAGATTTCTCCCGAGTACCGTTCCGTGGTGGCACCCGGGTAGGCCTCATAGCCTTCTGCGGCAACTACCGCCTTCTTACCGTTGGATTCCATCAACAGTTGTTGAATGTGAGCGGGGAACCGAAGCAGTGACTGGCAGTAGGGCAGAATGGCCACGCAGTCCAAGTTCTTGTAGCTGGCATTGTAGAAAGAAACCAACGCCATCAACGCCGCCAAGTTGGTCTGAGGCTTATCCCGGTTGGAGTACACGTGCTGGTCAATAGCGCGACAACCACCCAGAAACTCTTCCACGACCTGTTCGCCGTACTGTAGACTAAGGGGTACTAGTCCTACAGACGAGCACACGGAGAAGCGCCCTCCAACCCAGTCCCAGAAACCGAAGATATTTTCTTCCTTGATGCCAAAGGCCTTGCACGCGGGAATGTTCGTTGAGACTGCGCAGAAATGCTTTCCAATCACGCCCGCTTCATCCTTCGACGTGTACTTGTAATGGTCCAGTACCCATTCCCGCACGGTCTTGGCATTAAGCATCGTCTCCGCAGTGGTGAACGTCTTCGATGCTACAACCACCAACGTAGTCTCAGCACACAGACCCTCTAGAGCCCGTCTGGAATCGATCGGGTCGACGTTGGCCAAGAAACGCAACTTCCGGCCCGTAGCCGGATCCTGGCCGGACGTAGGAACGTAGGTCCTCAGCGCCTCATGAACAAATTCGATGCCCAAATAACTACCACCGATACCAATGCAGACCACTGTATCCAATTTTTTACCCGTAAACCCGACGTACTTACCCTCACGTACAGACTCCGCAAACTTGTAAATACGGCCCTTCACCTCCGCCACATCAGGTGCGTAATCGTGCCCGTCAACCACAAATTTGTTATCCGGGGTGCCTTGGCGCAGCGCGGCATGACCTACCGCACGCTTCTCCGTAAAATTCACCTTATCACCCTTGAACATCGCCTCTAACTTCGCAGACACACCCGTGTGTTCATACAACGCGCATAACTTGGTCCACTCTTCCGCCGTCATCAAAGACCGACTCGCGTCTACAGTAAGACCCTCCGCGTACAACTGCAGAGCGCTCACGCGCGCCTCGTCCTCCATCATCAACTTCAAACTACTTTCATTCTTGACATCCAACAAAGCAAGGTGCTCTTCAGTCTCAAAAAAACGAGCCATCCCCAAAATACAAATAAAGCCAGCAGACGCGGCAACGGCCCCCCTACGGCCGGTCTCATACCGAGCGTCCGTTGGCCCACAAGCACGACCAGCCCACTGCCGGAATCGTTTGGGCTTTGTGGAAAATACACGTCCAAGACACTATCAACACTCCTTCAAAGAGCCCCAATCGAACAGTGCTGTCAAACGATCAATCACCAAAGCCGATTTGCACATAAAAAATAGGCGATCAGACGTAAAGCACGTAACCTGTGAGGCTTGTGTAGAGTACTAGGAATATGTGCTATTAAACGTGCGCACTATCCGGAGTCGAGCTGTCCATACAGCACACACTATTCCATGCACTGATCCAGTCAATACACGCGAATCTGCACATTAGTCGAAAGACCAGCCAAAACACGGGTGGGTAAGCTTCTCAATAACGTTGAGCCACATCAGCACCGGAAGAGTCCGGGTCGCTGAGCCTGGGTCGACTAGGTCCAGCGTACCAGGGAGGGAGCGGGAGTTCAGCACGGGACGACGTTGAGTTTGGCAAGGCCACCTTGGCTGGTCTCCTTGTAGTCCTTGTGCATGTCGCGTCCGGTTTGGTTCATGACCTGGACGGCTCCGTCGAAATTGATTTTTTGATGGTCAGGGTCGGAGCCGGTGGCGAGTATGAAAGCGTTGTAGGCTTTGACGGCTCCCATAGAATTACGTTGGATGCAGGGGATTTGGACGTAACCGCCGATGGGGTCGCAGGTCACACCAAAGTGATGTTCCAATGCGATTTCAGCGGCGGCTTCGACCTCTCGTAGTGTGCAATCTTGAGCGTAGGCCAGCATTGCGGCACCCATGGCACTTGCCACGCCGATCTCTCCCATACAGCCCATCTCCGCTCCGGAAATACTGGCATTGTGTTTGATGAGAAACCCGAAGAGACAGCCGCACACTAGACTTCTTTCGCGCACGCTTTCGCACACACCCATGTGTTTCTTCATAAAATACAACAATCCCGGAATCACTCCTGAAGATCCGCTCGTGGGCGCCGTCACCACCAACATGCCCGCCGCGTTCTCCTCACTCGCGGCCATGGCATAAGCATTCAATAACCCCAAGTCGTTCGCACACACCACGCTACGTCCGGAGCGTCGAGTCGCGCGCTCGAACACACACGCCGCCTTCCGCTTCAACTGAATTGGTCCCGGCAACGTACCCTCACACGACAATCCTCGCTCCACCGACCGATCCATCACTTCTATGATCTTGCGCACTCCCTCCAATATCTCCTCGCGACCCATCCCCGTCAACTTCTCCTCGTTCCGCAACATCAGCTCCACCACGTCAATGCCTCGAGTCCACGAGCCCGAGACGTCGCTGGCGCCACCGCAAGCGTTCATGAACTTGCCCAGCTGGCCCTCAGACAAACAGCCTCCCAAAAACTCCGTACTCGGACTGGCTTTCACCCTTGACTCCGCCTCCGCGGACTCCGCCATCAAGGTGCCTCCCAGGCTCTTTGGACAGCCCCCTGTAGGCAGCAGCGTCAACAGCTCGCCAAGCGCGTTAGGCTTGGCGTCTGCCCAGCCGCTCGGTTTTGCTCCAGTTTCAAACTCAGGCGTGCCGCCGCAGGGCGAGCAAGCCTCAGTATCAAGACTGGTGACGCTGCACTGCCGGTCGTACTCTCCAGTCTTCTTGGTCCCGGGTTCCTTAGAGCCGGACTCCTGGGAGTCAGGGTCCTGGGAGCCGGATTTGTGGGAGTCGTGCTCCTTGGAGTCGTGCTCCTTGGAGTCGTGCTCCTTGGAGTCAGGTTCGCGGGAGTCGGTGCGCTCTTTCAGGTGGTCAACCACTTGTTCGAAGGAGGTGTAGGGGTAGACCGGTTCTTCTTCGCGGAAGTCTTCGGGCATGCCGCCTTTTCGCTCGATGAAGCCACCTCCGACGGAGTAGTACTCTCGTTCGAAGCAGACGTCGGGGCCCCGCAGAATTTGGAGTCGGAGCGTGTTCGGGTGGTATAGCTCGCTGATATCACAGGGATCGTGCCAGACGATGTGCTCAGCGCCCATCTTAATCTTCAGTTCAGGCACAGGAAAGTCGTAGAGCGCGCCTCGCTCGGTCAACAACAGCGGCAATGCAACTGGGTCGCATGTCATCGGCTCCCAGCCCAACAAACCGCCGATAACTGCCGTATGTGTCCCATGACCCAGCCCGGTAGCCGATAGGGACCCAAACAGGTGGATTGCAATCTGATACTCTCCCTCCATCACTTCGTTTTGAGTTTCGCCCAGAATAACTATCTCCTCAAGAGCTTGGTCATGTGTGTGACCATTGCTGCCGACTGGCGACGGGCCACCCGGCGGATTGTTGAGGGTTCCGTTAGATTTCGAGGTCCGCTCGAGGGTAGGTAGAAAGCAGTTTTTGACCTCCTTCAGGAAGTCATTACAGATTTTCATCGGCCCAATGGTGTGTGAACTAGAGGGGCCGGGACCGATCTTGTACATGTCGAAGACGCTCGTGCGAATGGACGACGGTCTCAGAGCATTGGCCGTGGCCGAGGACTCCGTCGCGCCACACGCTAGAGTCGCTGCAGCAGCACTCCCGAGCGTCTCTATATCCTGCATTTTTTTAATGCAACACGTCCACGGCGCCTGTGGGGGGGAGACGGCCGCAGGGGAGACGCCTGGCGGGGCCAACCCTGGGCGAGGCAGCCCAGAGTGGGCGGGCCCTGAGCGATGCGTCACGGGCTTTGGAGGCGGCACGGACTTTGGAGAAGCCACAGGCCTAGGAGGAGGCGGTGAAATGGGTGGCGCTGAGGCGGGTGGTGTTGAGATGGGCGGTGTTGACATGGACGAGAGAGGCGGCACGGACTTTGGAGAAGCCACAGGCCTAGGAGGAGGCGGTGAGATGGGTGGCGCGGAGGCGGGTGGTGTTGAGATGGGCGGTGTTGACATGGACGAGAGAGGCAGCACTATGACGAGAGTCAGCGGCCAACAGTCGGTCGAGGCCCCGAAAGCGGGTGATCTTTCGGACTCGTCATCCGTCGCGATTCCGGATTCGGTCACGGTCGTGGCGTTGCCGTTTGCGGCGCGAGGACCCGCATTGGGTCTGTGTTCGAATGACCGGCGTTTGTACGTGGCAGCGTTACAGAGTGTGCATCACCTGCGAGTGCCGTTGTTGGTGAGAGGTGACCACGCATTGGGCAAGCAGTATGAGTACGAGATCCCGGGTAAGTTGGTGCACGGGAACCGGCAGTGGATCGTGGTGGGCACGAGCAGGGACGTATATATACAGGATAAGAAGGGTCGGTGGTTGCCTCCGGTGCGGGTGGCGCCTGAGTCAAGTGGTGACTGGACGCTCAACGCTGTCTACGTGCGGAACAGCCTGTTGTTCCTGGGTGTGGGGCGGTTCGTGGTTTGTCTGGACTTGGCCGCAGTGAACAAGGCGCTGGCGGGTAGACGCCAGGCGAAGGAGGCGGTGCCGTTGCAAGCGGCCTGGGGCTCGATGCACGCGTTGCATACGGAAGACGTGCACGCGTTGTACTTGATGCACAACGGGCTGCTCATTTCGGGCGGCGACGACGGGTTGGTTTGCATCACGAAGCTCAGGTGCTTTGACCCGCTGGTGCCCGCGGTGTTGTACAACTCGCAGGAGTACGACGACGACTTTGAAAGCAGCGAAGACCTACTCAAAATCTGCGTAGGCATCGGCGACTGCATCAAACAGTTCTGGGTCGACGACAAGGTACTCTCTGTCCTTACACACACCGGCCGAACCGCGTGCTACTCCGTTGGTTGTTTAGACGCCGTCTCGCCCTCAGACACTTTCGCTTGTTTGCTCCAGCCCTCTTTCGAAGCACTCGAACTCGGCGCCGCACACGTTTGGTGCTGCCCCTGTGGCGCACGCGCAAACTGCGTCTGCGACGAACCCGGCGCCGTAGAAGTCGTCGGACTCGTCAAAACACTCCACCACGGCGTCTGCGCCGTCGTGACACACACACACGGCGGCGTCTGCGTCGTCCAACTCAATAAAGGCAAACCCACCGTCCTCGGCCTTCTCACCGGCATACACGACGACCACCCTCGCTCAGTCATCTACAGCAAGGAAGACCAAAGCCTTGTAATTGGCACTGAATCCGGCAAACTCTACAAGGAAGCCAGCAAACTTAAAGCCGGCATAAGCAACCCCTACCACGCCAGTCGGTAACCTTCACGGCCGGCCACGTCCCCGGCACCTTCTCCACGGCCACGTCCCCGGTCTGGGATTTTTTGGACATGGATTCCACATTGACTGATTCCCCGTTGGCTGACGCCCCATGGTTAACATAGATCAGTGTAACCATCCATGTTAACTCACTCAGCGATCCCCCATTCACTCGGGTCATCATTCCAAAATCCCCTGGGTTTTTTCCCTCCAGCTGTGGGGCTGGGGTTTTTCCCTCCTGGGGTTATCGTTCCTTCACCCTGATTTTACGGCGTCGATTTTTTTTTACCTGCATCATGTCGGGCGTGGATCTGGCGTTGTATTCACGTCAGTTGGGTACGTATGGCTTGGAGACGATGAGTCGTTTGGGTAGCCTTCGAGTGTTGATAAGTGGCTTGCAGGGGACGGGTGTGGAGGTTGCCAAGAATGTGATTTTGGCTGGCCCAAGCTCTGTGACGCTTCACGACGACACTACGACGGAAATGGTGGACCTTGGGAGCAACTTTTATTTGTCGGAAGCGGATGTGGGAGTGCGTAGTCGTGCGGATGCATCGGTGCATGACTTGCGGAGCTTAAACAATTACGTGGACGTGAGTGTGTTCCACGGGTTAGTGGACAGTGCGGTTATTGAGCGGCATGATGTGGTCGTGGTGTCAAACTACGACCGCGTGCGATGCGAGGAGTTGTCGTTGATGTGTCGTGAGAACAAGGCGTTGTTCATAGCCGTGAACTTGTACGGATTGGCGGCATCCATCTTTGTGGACTTCGGAGATGCTTTTCATGTTAAGGATGTCGACGGAGAAGAGCCCAAGACCCTCGTGGTAGAGAACCTCAACTTCGCGAGCCCTGGTACCCTCACTATTCAATGTAACGAAGATCGGCGAGTACCACTCACCAGTGGAGACACCGTTGCTTTGAGTGGTGTGGAGCTGTTTGATCAGACACCGGATAACATGCGACTGGCGAAGAGTGTGACGGACGTGCCGCTGGTTGTGACCGGGACGACTCATTATTCGCTTACGGTCGAGCGCAAAGCTGCCCGGGCTGTTATCGAAGGTGGTGTTGCCGAAGGTGGCGATTCGGTGTTTGAGCCCACAGTGGTTGCGGTATCAGGACATGTGCGGCAGCTGAAGGTTGGCAGGACTTTGAGTTTCAGGAATTACCAGGACTCGTGCCTGCGACCTATTCCGGAAGGCCAGGACTCGCTGGCCCTGGTAGACTTTGCTAAGTTCGGCCGAGCGGAGCAGTTGCATATATGCACTCAGGCCATTCTCCAGTTTTCAACCAAGGAGGGACGGCTGCCGGAGTGCGGGAACGGCGATTTGACAAAGCTTACTAACCTTGCCCGGTCTCTTAATTCACAGTATAAGGAGGTGTCGGCAGGTGGGGAAGAGAAAATGCTGAGTGAGGAAGAGGCGAAGCTTGGTAAACCTGTCTGGGTGGAGGAGGTGGATCTAGGTGTACTGGAAAAACTAGCCCGATATACAGATGTAAATATTAGTCCTATGTGCGTGATTTTGGGAGGCATTGTGGCGCAGGAAGTAGTGAAGGCCACAGGCAAGTTTACTCCAATACATCAGTGGTTGTATTTTGATGTCTTCGAAGTGGTTAATGGATTGGATTATAAAACCGCGGACTTTACGCCAACAAATTCCCGGTATGACGACTACATTGCTATCTGGGGACGCGAGTGGCAAAAGAAGATTCAAGACACGAATTTGTTCCTGGTAGGTACCGGAGCACTTGGATGTGAATACTTGAAGAACTTTGCTATGATAGGACTCGGTATTACTCCCAATGGGGGTATGATTACTTTAACAGATATGGATCGTATTGAATTGTCAAATTTGAATCGACAATTTCTGTTCCGAAAAGAACATGTTGGACACAGTAAAAGCAAGACAGCCGCCGAGGTTGTCAAAAAAATGAATAAGGAGGCACAAATTAAATGTCTCGAAGCCCGAGTCGGAATTGAGACTGAAGGGGATATCTTCACCGAAAAATTCTGGCAAAATCTCGATATCGTTATCAACGCCCTGGATAACGTACCCTCCCGGCTTTACATTGATGGCAAATGCGTCTGGCACATGAAGCCCCTCATTGAATCCGGGACCCTAGGCACCAAAGGAAATGTTCAGGTGATTGTACCCAGAATGACCGAGAGCTACGGCGATTCCAGGGACCCCCCGGAAGAATCGATCCCTCTCTGTACCCTCAGACACTTTCCCAACCAGATTGAACATACCATGGAATGGTCACGAGATTTGTTCCAGGGCAGGTTCGCTGACGCAGTTCAAGAAACCCAAAATGTTCTCAAGTTTAAAGAAAAAGCTATACAGTTGCTCCAAAGCCAGATGGGAGAGCAACAGCTAATCGATACACTGAACAGGATCAAAGCATTGCTACACATTATTTTCCCGGGTCCGACGATCGAAAAGTGTGTGCACGCGGCCATCGAACACTTCCAAAAATTATTCCGGGATGATATTGCGCAATTATTGCACAATTTCCCCGCGGATCATGTCAATAACGACGGTACACCATTCTGGTGTGGGTCTAAGAGGCCTCCACAACCGATCGATTTCGATGTAAAAGATCCTCTCCATGTTCAGTTTGTTATCGCGTCAACAAATTTGTTGGCTGATGCAATTGGTCTTTCGGCTTCAACTTTGGATGAGGGCGTTTTGGAGCGTGTGGTTGACCAGCATAATTTCGAGCCGTTTAAGCCGCGTAATATCGTGATACCGACGGACGATTCGGAGTTGGACAGCAAATCCCAGCCCACGAGCACGCTCCAGAACCTGATGGTTAATGAGGTTGATTCTATCAAGTCCGAAATTCTTTCTCTTGTTACTCAATCAGGCGACGTCGCTACCAAACTTGTTTCGGTCGACTTTGAGAAGGATGATGATCAGCATATAGCTTTCGTCGCATCCGCTGGTAATCTGCGGGCGCGGAATTACAAGATTCCAGAAGTTCCTGAATGGAAGGCGAAGATCATTGCAGGCAAGATTATACCGGCAATTGCTACCACCACGGCGATGATCACTGGTTTGGCAACACTGGAAATGATCAAGGTGCTGACTCGCAATTTAGTTCGGGAGAAAAATGAGACAGAGTCGGTGATGGCGGATGCAGGAACGGCTGCGCTGGACAGGTCCGACAGCAAGCAAGTTTGTAACGGTGATCAGTCAGCGTCGGTATTGAGTGGTCGGCGCCCTTTGGAAGATTACAAGAACGCGTTTGCAAACTTGTCGTTGCCTCTGCTGCTGCTTTCGGAGCCAGGATCGTGCAAGCAGATGAAGTCTGTGGACTATGACCCCATCGTAGGCGGTCCCGTGCGGTGCAAACCGGACCCCTTCACTTCGTGGGACAAGGTAGAAATCATGCTGGAACCGGGTGCTTTGGTCAAGGACCTTGTGGACCAAATAACGAAGAAATTTGATACTGAAGTCAGTGTTATCTCAGCAGGAAATGTGTGTCTCTACATGTCGTATACCAAGGATAATAAGCTCCTTCTGCCGTTCAAGCAAGTCGTTGAGGACGCTGCCAAAAACAAAAACAGCGACCTTAAGGTCGGCCAGGGTTACTGCGTAGTGCAAGCGTGCTGCACTGATGAAGACGGCGTAGATGTCACCATTCCCGTCATCAAGTGCTCTTACCAATAGCTGGTCTCGGCCCTCTGCCGATGGCCAGCTATCAACATGTCACAATTCTTTTGCTACTGTCAAAACCAGCGCCGTCAACATTGAACTAACAGGGTATTTTGAGGACGGGTGCCTTTGGGCGGACGGGTAGTAGCACCATTGGGGGAATCTGTCTGTGCGTGGGAGGGTCGAACGACCAGTCTGGCGGTAGGTTGGAACTTTGTGAAAGATGATTACAATTCTCGGGGAACAGTTTACGGTGCATTGCGGCCACGTCTACGTGGCCGTTCATTCTCGGCAGGGAGCTGAGTCTCTTTTGAGTGTGTTTAATCTGGGCCAAGCTCGGCCGCAGTGCACCTACGGTTACCTGGATCCAACCGAAACGTTCTTTAAAAGAACAGTTGAGAGTGTAAGTGGCCATGTTGGGATGGGAAGTGATGGCAACAAATGCGGTGACAGAGAGCGGGGCCACAGCGAGTGCGAAAACAGCGGCACGTGGCTCTTGAGTCAAGTGGTGGCGGAAGAAGGATTGATTATGCACGCGTTGATGGGTCGCCGGTTCCCGGAGCAGGAGTTGTGGCTTGGTGCCCGTTTGGGTGATGCCCCTTTGGGTGATGACCCTTTGAGTGATACCTACTTACACGGGATCGTAGCCGCCGTGAACGTGTTGTGTTTGCTTACAAGTGAGGCAATCCTTATATTCGACTTGAAGTCTCGTTCGTGGTTGTCTCCCTGTCCCTTAGCAAACTTGTGTACAAGCGCTACCCCCGGGGGTGGTCCGAAGTACTTATTGTTCGACACGTCCCGGACGGACACTTGCAGCTTACAGGTCTTGAGTAGCGACAAGGTGTTTAAAGCTTTGGATCTGCACCCTGTACTTACACCGCAGCACAAGACAGCTGCTGGGCAAGACTACGGCAGAGAAGACCAGCTCAAGGTTATTGAGCGGAATCAGCACTATGGCGACTCATATTACCTTTCGGGGGGGCAGATTCCGCGATACTGCGGACGAATTCCGCTGTGGGTCAATTTAAACCTGGATGACTCCGTCACGGCCCAGTTGTACAGCACCCAGTCGCTTAACATTATACCATGCCCTCCCTTCTACGTTGAGATGCCACTTTCTCAAGATTTCGTTAAGGACCAAACCGTTAAGGACCAAGCTCTCAAAAATCAAGCTAGCGTTTTGAGCTATTACTCATGCGCGTGTCTGGTCGTCGGGCGACCGCAGATCCTTATCAACCCATGGAGTGCACCCCCCACGAACCCGACGCCTGTTGGGGGGTGCGAACACGTTTGTACGGTGCTCATGCTGCCAACCCAACATTCTTACGACTCTTCGGTACTGTCCAAGGTTTTCGCGCACTTCAGGGTGGGCGTGGCAGATAAGAAGCGAATTCTGTCGTATCTTATGCCGATCTATCATGCCTGATTGTTTTTACTGCTCCCAATCCGCAGAGTACCTCTAGACCCAGAGTACCTCTAGACCCAGAGTAGTTCTAGATCCAGCCAGACAGATGAGGCCTCGATGCGGCACCACTGGTCTTGACGTTGCAGCTGGTCAACGCGACACAAAAATTTGGTCGTTTGGTTAATGAACAAGGCTTCCTCAGCAAAAAGGTACACGAACAAACAAATCTCCAGAACGCGAATCTTCTCGTAGTCATCCGGGAGGGCAAGGGCGAAATCGAGGTCGGGGTTCACAGGGTCGAGGTGGGGCTCAAGGTCGAGGTCGAGGTGGGGCTCAAGGTCGAGGTGGGGCTCAAGGTCGAGGTGGAGGTGCGGCTCAGGGTCGAGGTGGAGGTGCGGCTCAGGGTCGAGGTCGCGGTGGAGCTCAAGGTCTGGGTAGTGATGGATGTCGTGACTTCGGCAACAAGCGAACGGATACGTTGATGGCTGAGGATGGTCTGCGTGAGGAGTTCATCGAATGGAGGCGCAACATTCCGAGGAGTGTTGAGCGTGCAGTGAAGAGTCTGGATCCCATTGAGATGAGGGAGTTTTTTACGGAGGCTCGGCGTCTGGTGAAGACAGACTGTCCGCAGACGAAGCAGGACGTGCTACGTTCATTGGGTGGTGAAGGCGGGCTGTATCGAATAGAGGAGCTTATGCGGTCGGTGGCTCCGTTCACACCAGCTGTATTGGGCCGGTCAGCAGCTCTGGGTTGGAGTTTGTTTTCGGAGGCGGTTTTTCCGCTGTTGCATTTGCTAACTGACTCGTACGTGTCCAGTTCGTTTTTGCTGGAGCGGACAGTGGTCACCATTTACAACGTCATGTACGGGGTTAATGGGACAAGAGGGACGCCGTTCATGGAGTTTGTGGCAGCAGTATTGGATCTGAGCAAGGCAGGAGGATTGGGGGCTGTGGTACCTTTGGCGCAACGAATTGAACAGATCGGGTCCTCGATCCAGTTCTTTGACAAAATGGTGGTGTTCAATTCCGATGCAAAGGTGCAAGACCGCCTCTCGGAGGTGGCGAGGCGATTGCAGAAGGTGTTTTGTGGCGTCCATACACCAGAGTTGTCCGGAATGTTGGAGAAGACCCGAGTATGTTTGGAAAGGGTTTTGGGTTTGTTCGAGATTGGGAACCAGTTGCCTCCGGCGTTTGCGGTAATTCCGGGACGGCGTGGCAGTAATGGTGGGGGACGGCGTGGCAGTCGGACGAGAACAGAACTGAAACAGACCCCGCCTGGAGGCCGGCATGATAACGACCATGCCAACATCAGAGCAATTGGGATCATGCCAACGTACTCGGAGATTCTGTATCAATACTCCCAGTACTTGCCACCGATGAACCCCAGCTCATGGCATTTGCCGGGTCTTGCCGGCTTAATCGACCGACATTTCAGACTGCTCCGAGCGGACACCATTGGTCAATTAATTGAGGCCATCCACATAGAGGTCCGCCAGAAACGGACACCTGAAGGACAGATTCTAGATGAGACGCGGCACCATGTTAAGCGGAATGTGTATCTGGACGTCCGAATTACCGATTTCATTTTGGACTCTCTCCGAGGGTTCACCATCGGTGCTACCTTCACCATGCCACCTGGCGCTAAACAATGCCCGACCGCCCAGGCCAGAGAACAGTGGTGGGAGCAGTCTAAGCGTCTCCGAATGGGCACCTTGGTTTGTCTTCTAGATTCTCAAGGCACTATTACCTTTGCCACTGTAGCCACCATCGAGAGAACCAAACCAAAGGCTGACGCCAACGGACACACCCCAGAACTACGGCAGCTACCCAACCTTTGGGAAGACGACGATGTGGGCAATGTGCCACTCCAGATAGTGGACATGAAGGACTCCCATCTCCGGTACTTGTTTCGGCTACATGCCATCCACGCAAGTCACAACCCTACGAATCTAAAGTTGGTGGAATTCCCGGGCATTATTTTGGCCGCCTTCCATTCCACGCTTAAGGCCCTTCAATACATGGCAGAGTCTCTGGACATGCCCTTCGCACCGCTTTTGGCTCCCGTTAATCCCGCACAAAATCTGCGGGTGCCAGCTCCGGCTTATGCACGTCGTCATGGCTTTTCTTTCGACTTGGCCTCCCTCAGGTCCACTGCCGCGAAAACCACAGGTGTCCCTGTGCGACAACAACGGTCGCAGGACAACCTTCTCCTAACAACAGGTGAAGAATTCGATGTGACAAAACTGGAAGAGGTCACAACCTTGGACCATGGCCAGGCGGTCGCCCTGATAAATGCGCTACAGAGATCCATTGCCCTGATACAAGGACCACCGGGTACCGGCAAAAGCTTCACAGGTGTTTCGTTGATCAAGGTGCTGCTCGCGAATAAGCGAAAATGCGATCTAGGACCGATCGTGTGTGTATGCTTTACGAACCATGCCTTAGATCAGTTACTGGAAGATCTTATTGGCAAAGAAATAACCAAATCGGTCATTCGTATTGGAGGCCAGTCAAAGTCTGAGTTGGTCAAGGAGTACACTTTATTCAACAAACTCCAGGATGTAAATAATACCTTGTGCGAAAAGGCAGGCTATGGCAAGGCCCGAGCGGAGTTACAGACTGCAGCTGATGAGTTCACACACGTTGACCTTACGTTAGCGGGGGATAAGGTAGACGAATACTTGTTCTCCTGTAACAGAAGACACCACGCTCAGCTCTTTGGAACTGCATCCATCGACGGCTTTCAGCCCTCCAAAAAGCCTAAAAAGGGTGCGAAGCTTCGCGTGTGGTTAAACGGGAATAGCAGGCGACAGACCGGACCGAGACCGGTTGAGGAGCTGGAGACAGCGGACCTAAATGGTATGACGAAGGAGGAGCGGGAACGGCTGTACGCATCGTGGGTGATAGGGGCCCTGGAGGGTCCGCACGAAAAGGGGCTGGACGTGGTGGAAAATTATCAAAGTGCAAGGGAAGAGTTTGATAACATCCGTGAAGAGAAGAGTTTGAGATGCTTGCAGGGGGCAGATGTGGTGGGGTTGACTACCACCGGCTTGGCCCGGAATCTCAAGATGCTGCGGCGTTTGCGGGCTAAAGTTTTGTTGTGTGAAGAAGCTGGCGAAGTACTGGAGGCTCACCTGTTGACCTCACTGTTGCCCTCTGTTGAGCATGTCATCTTGATCGGGGATCACCAGCAGCTACGACCTCACACTCAGAACTACGACCTGTCGGCGGAAAGTGCGAGAGGCGAAATGTTCTCGTTTGATGTGTCATTGTTCGAGCGATTAGTCTCGCCCAAACCCGGTACCGGTATACAGCTGCCTTGCGACACGCTGGAAACGCAGAGGAGAATGCACCCGAGTATTTCCCGCCTAATCTCTTCCACACTGTACCCGAACCTGAAGGATGCCCCCTCGGTCTCTCTCTACCCGCCGGTCGTTGGGATGCGAAAGCGCCTCTTTTGGTTCGACCATCGACGACCGGAGGCTAGTCCCTCTCGTAGCGAGCAGGTTGGTCAGTCTCGCTGGAATCCTTTTGAGATTGACATGACGGTCGCCCTGGTTAGTCACCTAGTCAAGCAAGGTGCCTACGAAAGCGGGGAAATAGCCGTCCTCACGCCTTACTTGGGGCAACTCTTCAAACTGAGACAAGCTCTGAACCAAAGTTACGCCATCTTGCTGACAGACCGGGACGAAGAAGAGCTAGACGCTGCCGGCTTCACCGACGATACCCCCGTGAAGAAACGCAACTCCGGGGTAACTCCGGCAAAAACATCCTTGTTGAACACATTGCGTGTGGCTACCATCGATAACTTCCAGGGTGAAGAGGCCACCGTCATAATCATATCGTTAGTCCGTAGCAATGAACAGAACAACTGTGGGTTCTTGCGCACCTCTAATAGAATCAACGTCTTGCTTTCGAGGGCTAGACACGGCATGTACATCATTGGCAACTCAGAAACGTCCAAACATGTACAGATGTGGTCCCAGGTGATTGGGATTCTGTCCGAAGATGATTGTATTGGGGCCACGTTGCCGTTGCAATGTGGGAATCATCCCGACCGCTTGATGGAGGTCAGTGAGCCTGGCGATTTTGCTAGGATCGCCCCGGAGGGAGGTTGTGATCTGCAGTGCGGCAAGAGACTCAGCTGCGGCCACGTTTGCAAGAACAAGTGCCATCCGGACTGGGCTCATAGATCGGTCAAATGTGTTGGGCCGTGCATCAAAACTTTAGTCGGCTGCGAGCATCTTTGTCCGAAACTATGTGGTGCTAAGTGTCCCACAAAGTGCTTGGTTAATTTGCAGGTCGACCTAACGCTGCCGTGCATGCACACGGTAGCGCGCATGAAGTGCTGGCAGTACCAACAGCTTAATTTGTTCAAGTGCCAAATGCAGGTTATGAAAAGGCTCCCGTACTGTGAGCATCAGATCCAAACCGAGTGCCATCAAGACGTCAGGTCCTATCGCTGTAACCAGACCTGTGGCACAATTCTCGCCTGTGGACACAAGTGCTCCCGAGAGTGTCATGAGTGTTTCGGACGTGGGGGAGAAGACCACGGTCTGTGCCAGAGTGTGTGCAAGCGTCCCTACGTTGGGTGTCCCCACAGTTGTCAGAAAGTGTGCCACATTGGCACACAGTGTAACCCGTGCGAGGCCCCGTGCGAAATAAGGTGCACACACTCCCCTTGCTCGAAACGGTGTTCTGAAGAGTGTACCCTGTGTGCTGAGAAGGATTGCAGCTCTGGCTGTCCCCACTCGAAGTGCTCGATGCCCTGTGCGGCACCTTGCAACCACGTGCCCTGCTCTCTGCGGTGCGAGAAGTTGTTGAAGTGCAGTCACCGATGCCCTTCTGTTTGCGGTGAAGCGTGCCCCGACCCGAAGTACTGCCAAGTGTGCGCCAGCAACGAGGTAAAGGAGACCTTGGTGGATTTTATTATGGGCCACACATTCCAAGACACGAACTTGGACGAACACCCGTGCATATTTCCTCCGTGTGGACACTTCCTCACGATCGATAGCATGGACGGCCAAATGGGCATGGCTGCGTACTACCACCTGGACGAGGACGAAAGGCCCTGGCAGGTGCGTTCCGGCGCCGCAGTCCCATTCAGCGAGGCGTGCGTCAAAGTATGTGCCACTTGTCGGGGGTCTCTCAGAAGCGTAACACGGTACGGCCGGATTGTCAGACGCGCTCTACTGGATGAATGCACGACCAAGTTCATGTTGCGAGCGTCTCGTGAACACAGCAGGCTGTACAGAGATCTGTCGCGTTTGGAAATTCCATCTTTTGTTTCGATTTTGAAAAATGACTGGACAGGTGGTCCTCTGCTTACCATCAAAGGGAGTCGAGAGGAGCAGTACCAGCTCATCGCCACGAACTTCCGCTTCGGTAAGGCGACACCGTGTGGTCGCCTGCATGAAGACCTAGCGCAGTTCTGTAAAGATGTCGCAGAGGAGGAGCAACCTTTCGGGCAACTGCGGCAATTTGTTCGATTCGCACGTTTGACCAAATTGCTGGCGGACGAGGCGGACGACTTATGGAAGGAAGAAGATGCTTTGGACGGGGGCGTAATTTGCACTGCACAAATCTTGAAGGCTCAGTCAGCGGCAATCCGGTTCCACACGGCGGTTCTGTTGAAACTATCTGCAGACTACAGCAAGAGCCAGGCCAGCTGGCTTTCGTTCCTGACGAGAACATTGGAGGTGGCGGTCGACGTGAGCGAGAACATTTGGGAGTGTGAAGTACTTCGGGGGAGTGCAGCTGCTGCGCATCTAGTGGTAGTGGAAACGGAGGCCAGCATTTATCTGGCGCAGCTGGCGGCGGTGGGGTTGCGGGTAGCCAAGTCAACACCCGCCCATCCGTTACTCAGAACGCTTGGTGAAGACGCTGTGGCCCAGGCCAAAGACATGTGTCGCCGACACCCGGCGGTTACCCGTGGCCTGCTGGACGAGGTGGAGAGTGCGGAACGCGCCCTTCAGAAAGACCTTACACACGCCCCCATCACCAGCCAGGAACGCCAAGCCATTGTCGACGTCGTCAACCGCTCCCTTATGGGCAGCGGCCACTGGTACTATTGCGTCAACGGCCACCCCTTCGTCATCGCCGATTGTGGCGGTCCCGTCGTCGAGTCCACGTGTAACGAATGTGGCGCTGTCATTGGTGGCAGAAACCACCTCGCAGCACCCGGCGTCAGACTCGCCACAGACCTCGAGACCGCAGGAAGAGTCCGTCGGTAGCCTGGCTCCGTTGTACCCTTCTCCCACCAAAATAGCCCACACATTGTGCGACCTTCCTTCCCACAACCTAAGCGTGCCCTAATTAACATTCTCTCAAGTCTGTGTGGCAGGACCCGCTAGAGATGGCCGGATGGAATGAGAATTGCGTACCTGACGGCTCCAGACGCGAGGAGGCTGTGCCACCATCCCGTGGCGCTCTATAAAGGGTTGTTGTGTTGGGTCTTGGGAACTCTATTTTCATTCTTTTTTTATTCTAAGAAAGTTGAAAAAAATGGTTGCTGCGGCGTGTGTGAGTTCAAGACGTCCAAGCCCGAGCAGGGCTGCTCTTGTCGCTGCTCTGACGGACTTGGTTGATGGAAAGCCGGTCGTAGCCAATACAGCCGGTTGCGGCACCCTGTTCATGGATATGAAGAAGAATCTTGACTCAAAAGAATGGCTAAGACTGAAGGTTGCCGTCCCTAGTGCGAAGTTAGCTCGCTACTGGGACGCATTGAGCATCGCAGAGAACTGTAACGCTGTTCAAATTGAGCGTCCGACACTTACATCCGAGTTAGCTCCAGTCCGGACAATTTCGGACGAGGAAGCTGTAGCATTCGGGTCGTCTGTGCTGACGGCAGTTGCGGTGCAAATGTGGGAGAACATTAAAAGAAGAAGCGAGTGGCGACCGGAAGTTGCCCATAAAAGTCTCGAAGTTCTCAACAAAGTGGGAGAAAGTCTGTACCAGCAGTGGGGCAGCGAGGCGACGAGAATGACAACCGAGGCGTTAGCGCGAATGTCCACGCAGATTGACGCAGCAGTCAGGCAGAGGATGTCTGATTACACAGTGGGAAAGCCCCCCAAATGGGTTTCTGACGTGTGGGAGCCCATGCAGGAACCGCCGTTGTGGAAAAAGTGTTGGAGAGTCGGCTACAGATCTGTGCTCCCCAAGGCTCTAGATGCCTACGGGTTGTTTTTGGTACTTGAACCGTTTTTACAGGCAAGCCGGCTACTGCCAGCCGAGTAAGCTCCAGCCGCAGCAGGAAAGCGATCACGTAAATTTTTGACGCCACGCGCAACGGATTGTTCTGGCAAAACAGACGCCCCAGTTAGGAACAGATTCTGATTCCATTTGTGAGAAGATGACTGGAGAGTTGCTGGCGGGACTGGGCTGCAGCTAGTGTGCCGCGATTCCCTGGTGTGGCTTTCTGGGTGGTTCTGTCCCAGGCCGTTACAACTTTCTTTCATCCAAAGAAAAATTGGTGGAATAAAATGGTTGTTGCCGCGTGTGTGAGTTCAAGATGTTCAAGCTCGATGGGGGCTGCTCTGGTTGCTGCTCTGACGGACTTGGTTGATGGAAAGCCGGTCGTAGCCAATACAGCCGGTTGCGGCACCCTGTTCGTAGCGTTGAAGAAGAGCCCTTACTCAGGGTCATTGCTGGGGCTGAAGGTGGCCGTCCCTAGCGCGGAATCAGTCGGCTCCTGGGACGCGTCAACCATCGCAGAGCACTGTAACGCGGTTCAAATTGTGCGTCCGACACTTACATCCGAGCTTCCTCCAAGCCTAGCAGTTTCGGATGAGGAAGCTGTGGAATTTGCCTCGTCTCTGCTGATGGCAGCTGACCTGCAGATGTCCGAGAACTTTGCAAGAAGCGATGTGCAACCGGAGGCCGGCCGCACGGGCCAAGTCCTCAGGGACTTGAGAGACACTATTTTCCAGCAGTGGGGAAGCGAGGCTAAGAACATGGCAGCCGAAGCGGTCCTTCGAATGTTACAGCGTACTGGCAGCCAGTCGATGCATGTTTACACAGTGGAAGGAACCCCAAAATGGGTGTCTGACGTGTGGGATCCCATGCAGGAATCGCCGCTGTGGAAAAAGGGTTTGAGGTTCACTCACAGAACTGGGCTCAGCGCCCATTTGCTTGCTGCCTATACGGCCTGGGTGTTACTTGAACCGTTCCTTCCGTGAATCGGCCAAGTCTTTATTTTTCTCAACAACGTTCGACTTTCTGCGCAAGAGACTCCCTTTGCTGGTTGCGATGCTCAGTAGTGCGGCCCGTACGCGACAACTGTAAGAGAAGCGGACACGACCACCACGGTAGTCAGAAATGCACTCAACTCGAGCACCCCAGTGAGGGTATTTACCACACTGGTGCGCTGACCGAAGCAGCAGAGAAGCTCACATCGGTAAACACCCGCCACGAAGGCGAGTCAAAGAGCCGCCCACCCCGCGAAGAAGACCACCCCGCGAAGAAGACCACCCCGCCGTCAGACACGGCGATGCACAACGAAAGAGCACAAGTCTCCTTTCAGTCCTAGTGAGCACGGGAGCCTCGCGAAACATCATGTAAAAGTACAGCTGAATGGGCACACTGCAGAAGCGCTAATGGGTACCGGATATAGTAGTGATCAAAGAAGCTTTAGTCACAAGACTGCGTCTGGAGGCAGGCACCACTATCGGGCGTAACCGGACGCATTACGACCAACGCAGCAGTACTCACCATCACCCACCGGGAAGCCTTCTGGGCCCCAATGCCTGCAGGAGGAGACCTCCTGATACCGCCCAACGTAGACGCAGAGCTAGGGATAGGCAAAGAGAAAACAGCCTACAACACCAACTAAGTCGACGAGAGCAAAACAGGTGCAGAACTCGTGCCAGACGCCAAAGCCATGCGCACCCACCTAGACGAGGCAACGTTCACACGCCTATGGGACGTAAATGGTCAAGCACACTAATTGCTAGCTCAGACCCAGAATAGACCAAATAGGCCAAGGCTCGATTCAGGGTCGGGGGCAAACCCCTCAAAGCCCGTCTCAAGCCAATAAGGCCAGAGCTACAAAGCGAACTGGACTGGGAATACGTCAAAGGCGAAGACAACATCGTGGCCGACTGGCTGAGTCGAACCGACCTACTAAAGGACGTAGAGGAGGACGATCTCATAGAGAGCATCTCCTGCAGTTCAGGAATAGCCCTACAAGCCACAGACGAACCAAAAGATCTACAAGCACTAGACGACGAAGATGCAACGGCTAGAGAGAGCCCTTGTCGAACGCGGCCAAGACGGTTGGTGGTTCAAGAAAGGGATCAATCGGCTCTACATGCCGCATAGACTGAGGAAGACACTCTTCAACCGGCTGCACTTCAAGGGCGGCGCACACCCAGGAGTCCACCGCATGCGACGGCAATACAAGCCCAGTATTTCTGGCCAAACCTTTGTCGCGACATCGAGCAGTGGACAAGAGAATGCTTGCTATGTGCACGCCTGAATCTGAGGCCAACAGTTGCGAAAGACGTCGGCTCACTCTCACAACCATTCTTTAACGAGCTCATCTCGCTCGACCTAATCGGCCCGCGGGCAGTAGGAGGAGTCAACTACCACATCATAGTCGTCATCGACCATATCATAGTCGTCATTAACCGTGCCACGAGGTACTCAAGCCCAAGTGACAAAAGCGCACTCCACGCAGTGAGGTGGGTGACGCATCAACCGGAGCCACCGGGGCAGCCAGTACCCCATTTCGCTCCCACCAAATTCTTGAAGAAAGCCTTGTTTTGAATTGTCCACTGTTGACATCAAAGCTGGCATTTCCCTCAATCCCACTTTCGTGAAGCTTATCTCTTGGTATGACAATGAGTGGGGTTATTCCAACAGGCTCTGCGATCTCGCTGCCCACGTTGGAAAGACTTGCGGTTTCTAGAAATTTAATTTTTCCCGATTTTTGAGATAATTTCAGATAATATCAATGGCAAACGTGAGCAACCTAGTACGTCCCACCAGCCACCCCGGGGACAGCCAGTACCCGATTTTCGCTCCGCCAAATCGTTATTCAAGAGAACTTTGTTTTGGATTGTACAGACCATGGTCGCTAAACTTGGCATCAACGGTTTTGGACGTATCGGAAGGTTGGTGTTCCGTGCTTCGTTGGAGCATGAAGGCCTTGTCCCTGTTGCGATCAACGAACCCTTCATGGATCTTGAATATATGATGTACANCTCAAGTATGATACTGTCCATGGAGATTCCCAGGCACCGTCGAGGCTAA